CCCCGTGAGGCCGGCTCCAGGGGGCACCGCTTGCTCTGAGTCAAAATGGGCCCCTGGATGAAATGAATAAGAAAACGGCTTTAACCGTTTCATCGCCACGACAGGCTCTGCCAAAACTTCCTGTGGGCTGTGTGTGCGCGGGTGCGCGTGTGTGGTGGGGGTGCTGGAGCTGGGTTCCCTGAGGCCTGGGGTGGGGTTGGGAAAGCGCCCTAGTGACCTTGGTAAGGGCCAGCTAAAGGGACTCAGCAGCCGCCTCGCCTCCCGGCTTCTCTCTGGAAGGGGAGCCCCTCCCCCGGAGCTCAAGGTCCCCAGAACTCAGTTCTCAGTGCCGGCTGCCTGGAGGGGGTCCCAAAGTCCCCAGCCCCCTCCCAGGGGCCTGAGTCACACGCGGGGAAAGCCGCGAGGGGTGAGTCACAGGGGCTAAGAAGAGGGAGCGAGGTCGGTTGCGGCCAAGGGACCCCCGGGCTGGCTTGAGTCACGCACACCCAGACCTCGCTGACCCCCACCCCCTTCTCCGGAGACCGGGAACGGGAAGCTCATTGTCACTGGACTCGGGAGCTGGAGGAAGACAGGAAGTGAGGAGGAAGCACGCGCCGGGCTGCGCGGGAAGCTCTGGTTTCCATGACAACTGGGGGGGTCTCAACTCCACTGAGGGGTTCTCCCCCAGCAGGGACTGCCCCCCACCATGTGCTGGGGAAGCCCCGGTGCGCTGGGTCGAGGGGCCGCAGGTTTCAGGTCGGGCAGGAAGGGGTTAACGGCAGCCCCCTCCGGGTTTCACCCGCGCCCCAAAGTCTCCAGTCTCCGGCAAGGCGGTGCTGCGCCCCGCGCGCCCCCGCGCCCAGCCCCCGCCTCCGCCCCCGCGCGCGCTCGCACGCACGCACGCAGCAGGGCCAGCCTTCGTCCCGGCTCTTGCACGCACGACCGCGTCGGGCTCCACGCACGCAGCGACCCCTGTCGTGTTTCACGTCACGCACGACGCACGCGCCCCCGCAGCGCGGGGAGGGGCCCTCACAGCCCAGAGTCTTGGGACGCGACGCCCCTGCGCCTATCATCGCCTCCACTGGGGCTACTGTCTGGTGTGATTTTGACACCCCACTTCTCCTGCTCCTCCCCCCCCCCCCCCCCCGCCACACACACAAGGTCACAAACAACTCTGACCCGCAGTGTCACACAGACACAGGATACACCTGCCACACGCTGGCCAAATCTCTCCTAAGTTACGCCAGCCTTGCAGCAAACAGGGACAGGGTCACAACACAGTCACAGACCCACACGGAGAGGAGAGGCAGAGTCACACAGGCACATGGGTCACAAATGGCTTGTGATAGGGACACAGGTATTTACATTTGCAGACACTGATAATGCTGCACCATTGAAGCAAAGTAGAACACCGATACCGTCTTGGACATCCGGGGCTTAGATTGTCATACAACTACCCCTCTTGTATGAAGACTGTGGCAGCAGAGACACATGGTAGAGACAAACATAGGACGGTCATGCCATTGTCACAAGATGCACAAAGTAGGTTACAGTGGCAGAGATAAAGCCACAAGGCCACACACATTCTCAGATTGTCCAAGTGGTGTGGACAAACCAGGACACATGACCGGGTTACACTATCACAGAAGACACATGATTAAGACAAACACAAAGTAGGACATGGTCACAGGCACACAACCTAAGGCCATATTGAGGCACTGATTGTTACACACTTCTCACACAAAGAATGACAAGGAACTGGCTGTGGTGACACTCCTGTAATCCCTGCTACTCAGGAGGCTGAGGCAGGAGGATTAAAATTCAAAGCCAGCCTGGACAATTTACATTTATTTTATTTATTTATTTTTACGTGGTGCTGAGAATCGAACCCAGTGCCTCACATGTGCTCTCTTCCACTGAACCACAACCCCAGCCCCCAGCTTGGACAATTTAGCAAGACCCTGTTTCAAAAAAATAAAGCTATTAGGGACATAGCTCAGCTTAGTGGTAAAGTGCCCCTGAGTTAAAAAAAAAAAAGGATTGGGGATGAAGCTCAGAAGCAGAATCCTCCTGAATTCAATCCCCAGTACCAAGAAAGAAAGAAAGAATGGATGGATGGGTGGATACTGAAAAATGACACCCTAGAGAAGCAAGTAGTAAGTATGAATACATAACAGATGAAGACAGAATAAGACAGCCACTCAGACACAGGCCATACACAGATACACTTGGTGCATCACCCCAAACCTGGATGTTATACACAGACAAAGATGTTAGTCACTCCCCCAATCCCTGACAGCCTCCCCCACCATCAGATCACACATAGATACCCAGCTGCCCAAACTCCAGGGCCTCAAAACACAAGTGGACGCAGATGCCGATACACACTCAATCACAGATCCACCACCTCACATCTACCAAAACAACGCATGTCCCATGGATTCTGCACCGAGATGGGGGAGGGGCGGGATAGGAGTTGCTGGCAGGATGTCAGTATCTGGGGTGTAGGGGGCCTGCCAGAGTCCCTCAGGGTAATGGCGCATGGGGTCCATCCAGTGGCTCTGGTCAGTCACTGGGGAGGAGTCGTGGGGTCCTGTCCTCCAGTTGTGGAACTCAGGGTCCTCAAACCAGCCTGATGACTGGGTCCCTGCCCAGATGTGCAGGCTGGAGGGGGCGGGCCAGGGTCCAGCTGTGGCCGCAGGGAGGGGCTGAGTCACTGGCTTCCCAGCAGTACAACCCAGGCTGGGCCCAGCTGTTCCTGGAAACAGGCAGGAGAGGGTGGGGTCCCCAATCCAGCTGGGGGCTGCTGACCCAGACCTCCATACTGGGGCTCAGTCCCTCCAAATAAAGGCCTCCAGACCACTCCTCCAAACTTTGGAGCCTCCCTATACCTAAAACAGGTTTGCATCCCTCCTCCTAGTATGGGGTACCTGTCTGAAATGAAGGGTTTGTGCCTTTTGTAGAAGATACAAAGATCCCTTCCCAGCACGGGGCCCCCTTTGTTGCAAAACAAGGATTGCTGGTTTTCCCACTAACATGTGCACTCCCTTCTTTCCCCCCAAATGTGGGACTCCCTGCTGACCCAAATAGAAGGTTGTGACTCCTTCCCCAAATGGACAGCAGGGACCTTTCCTTTAATCTTGGCTCCCTAGACATTTGGGATGCCCATAACATCCAAACTAACATTAGAATAATTTAAGCCAATTCCCCTAAATATTTGGATTCCCATATTTTCCCTAAACATCAAAATCCCGTGACCCACCCCCCACCCCAAATGTTTACAGGTCTGGCAGGTCCAGCCCTCCATTCTTTTAACAGCCCTGATTCCTGACTCACCTCCCATTGCTACCTGGGGGCAGGGTGATTTGTTTCCCCCTTTGGGCAGCACCCTTTCCTCTGTTAGGTGCAGGACCGGGAACCAGCAGCAGCTATTCTCACGCCCGCCAGCCTAAGGCAGTCTTATGGAAGCGCCAGCCCTAGACCCCTTCCCCTCTACCCTCCTCCACCTGGCTCCCAGAGGCTGGAGTCGGGAAAACAAGGAGGGGGTTGTGGGGGTGTGGAGCAGCCTCCAAGACTCTGGCGTGCGTGCGGCTGCGCATCTGAGTGGGCTGCAACCGGGTGTTTAGGGCTATAGGGACTGTGTTCATGTGATGGGCGGGGGACTGTTGTCACCCTGCCCACCCGCTCTAGGACAAGGTCACTGGTTCCAGACTCTCTGCGTGGATGGGAACAGCGCCCCTCCCCTTCGATCTGGACCCGCCCCCAATGCAGAGCCCGCCCCTCCCTCTGGGTACAGCTAATAACCTCTAATTACTGCACATTACCCCACCCGCCTGCAAGGGAGTGGCCCCCGGGGTCAAAGGGCGCCGGCTGGTGTTTTACCCTCTTCCTTCAAGGCTGGGTCCACCTAGAGCCACTATTTCCTCGTCTGCAAAACCGGGAATTAAAACAACACTTGACACGTAGGGTAGTGGATTTAAATCAGCGCAGATACTATATACAGTAAGCACTCCATAAGTGGCGATTTGCGAGTTTATTGTTAACTATAATTGTTATGCCTCTGAGCTCTCTCGGTCGCCCCAGCTGGGTCTCCGAGTGGGCGCACCCCCGCCCCAGTAGGCAGCGTTCTTGCGATCTGCGCGCCCCCTGATGGGCGGAAGGGGACAGGCAACTTCAGCCTGGTCCTAGGATCTGAAGCAGGGGGTTATCTAAGGGCTTGTAAGACTCAGGGGAATCTCAGTATAGGACTGATTCAGGCTGGGTAAATGTGACTGTGCACTACCCAGGACCTGTGTCTGACAGACCCTTCCTACTCTCGACTTATAGGACCACTCCCTTATCTCCCTGTCCACCCTTGGGGCAGGGCTTCTGAGTCACGTCCACTAGGAAGACCCCAACTCCAAGTTCATTGGATGTATTATGACTCGCGCCTGCCCACACAGATAAAGCCTCTGATCATAAGATGGTTGGAAGAATTTCTTTCAGCTGGGCACAGTGGCGCATGCCTGTAATCCCAGTGGCTCAGGAGGCTGAGCCAGGAGGATGGCAAATTCAAAGCCAGCCTCAGCAATTTAGCAAAGCCTTAAGCAATTTAGGAAGACCTTGTCTCAAAATAAGAAAGGGCTGGCTATACGGGGTAAAAATGGGAAAAAAAAGAAAAAGAAAAAGAAAGGGCTGGGGATGGCTAAGCACCGCTGGGTTCAATGCCTGGTGCCAAAAAAAAAAAATTCTGTCAGCTGCAAGAAAAGAAGGAAATACATTTGTATAACAGGATGGGGCAGCTCCATCTCAGAAAGATGGAGAGGCCCTTTACAATCCCAAAAGTGGGGGAGTAGGGGAGGTGGCTATCCACTCAATGCTCACTCCTGGGCCACACTGACCTCTAGCGGTAGAATAGGCATCAGAAAACTGCCCGGATCCAATATGGCGGAGACGGAGGCAAGAGCTGGCGTCTGGAAGAGATCATGTGCTCGGGGCGGGGCCTGTGCCAAGGGGGCGGGGCGGGGCGGCGCTCTAGGCAGAGCGGGAGGTCAGGGCTGCGGGCGCTCGCTGGTGGCGGACCCGGAGGCAGCTGTGGCGCCGGGGCTCGGTGGCCAGGGTGGATTTCGATCCGGAGCCATGAGCGTGGACAAGGCCAAGCTATGCGGGTCTCTGCTCACCTGGGTAGGTCGAGGGGCGGGGCTGGGGACAGGTGTGCGCCCGCTCCCCTAGCCCGGGATCCCTGGCCCTGCCTCGGTCCGCCCCTCGGTCCTGGGGCTGGAAGGAGGAAGGGGTCGCCGGCCTAGCAGGCCGTTGGACTCTAGTCTGAGCACCCGTCCCTGTCACGTGGCAGGCCTGCGTGGAAAGAACAGGTGAGGCCCCGCCCCTCTGTGCCTGGTTCACGTGGGGTGAGGGGGTACAGGTGGGCTGGCCTGATCACGTGGTGCCTGTGAGAACCAGGTGACTCGTAGTACCGCCCTGACCTGGTCGCTTGGACTTTGTTAGGCAGAGGTAAAGTGAGGCCACGCCCCCTTCGGTCTCAGGTGTGCTGAAGCCACTCCCCTTCAGAGCTAGCTTGGTGTAGCAACAGGCCAGTGCCTGCTCAATCTTGTGAGATGTCTCTTGGCCAGAAACAGTCTGCTAAAGAGGAGTGGCTCGGTGGTCTCAGGCCTTGAATCCCCGCGTTGCCCTTTCATTTCCGCCTCAGTTGCAGACGTTCCAAGTTCCACCCCCCTGTGCCAGCCCCGAGGACCTGAGCAGCGGCCTTGCTGTAGCCCACGTGCTGAACCAGATGTGAGTGGGGCTAAGGGGGAGGATCCCAAAAGCGTTCCCCAGCCAGCTCATTCCACCTTCTCCCCTCCCCTCCCCCCAGAGACCCCTCCTGGTTCAACGAAACATGGCTCCAGGACATCTCAGAGGACCCAGGTCCCAACTGGAGGCTGAAGGTGACAGGTGGACTCATGACTAGGGGACAGAATGGTGAAGAGATGGTCAGGGAAATTCTAGTCAAACACACATCCTGGGTGGTGGACGGAAAGCCCTGTCCAGAAAGAGGGACAGATGTCTGGTGATCAGCCAACTGTTTGCTCTTGAGTACCCATGTGTTGGGCATTCAGCAAGGAATAACAGATGAAAGCACAGCCCTGAGTCTAGTGATGTGGACAGACAACACATACACCAACATAAAAATTTACTTCCAAGAGCATTAGATTCATGAAGACAATAAAAGTAGAGCTCTGGAGGCACTCAGGAGCTTTGCACTACTGTTACCTGTGCCTGCAACCCCAGGCTGAGGCACAAGGATGGCACATTCAAGGCCAGCCTCATCAGCTTTGCAAAACTCTGAAGATGTGGGGATGGAGCTCAGTGGTAGAGTGCCCCTGGCTGCTTCCCGCACAAAAACAAAAACTTCCCCTGGATGCATCACCTAGCATGAGAAAGGCTTCCATTCCCAAACGGAAGATGAGAGGTGACTGGTGCAGTCATCCAGGTGAGAGATGACAGTGAAAGGTGGTGAGAAGTGATTGGATTTTGGAAACACATGAACAAAGATGGGCAGGTGGACACAATGGGCAGATAACCAGACGGTCACCTCTAAGGAAGAGGATATTTGTAAATGGGCCCAAACAGGATGAGATGAGCAGGGAATGAGTAGTGAAGTGGAGAAAAGAAAATGGGGACAGATTCAGGGTGGGGGGGGGGGGCTGTTGAGCCCCTGAACATAGCTTCTTGGCCCTCCCCAGGTCAGCAATCTGCAGAAGATCTTACAGAGCCTGGTGGAATACTCCCAGGATGTGAGTAACTGTAAAGGGATTTAGGAGGTTTGGAGAAGGGGGAGGGTCTGTGAGTCCCCGATACTCCTCCTTCCCTCTTGCACTCAGGTTCTGGGACACCCTGTGTCAGAACAGCACCTCCCAGATGTGAGCGTCATTGGCGAGTTCTCTGACCCCACGGAGCTCGGGAAATTGCTTCAGTTGGTGCTGGGCTGTGCTATCAGCTGCGAGAAAAAGCAGGGTATGGGGAGGGTTAGAGGGGGAGCTAGGGGATCCCTGGGGGTATGGCTCTGAGGAAAGGCTCTTTCCTCCTCACCTCACCCCTGGGTCTCAGTCACCCCCACCTTGATTCCCAGAGCACATCCAGAGAATCATGACGCTGGAGGAATCGGTTCAACACATAGTGATGGAGGCCATCCAGGAGGTGGGTGGGGTGGCCCATGTGATGACTGAGGAGTGTCAGGGGAGGGAGCGTTTCCAGGGCAGAGGCAACTGGACACAGGCACTGCCCTGGTAAGGCTCTGCCTGGAAGTCAGCTGGCCAGACATCTCTGTCTTATGTTTCTGCCAGCACCTACCAGCTCTAAATCACAATCTCGCAGGCTCAGTAGAGCTCGCTTCCCTCAGTGCCAGAGGCAGGAGGGCAGTCTCTGGCTGGAGTGACTGGGCAGAACTGGTCGTGGGGACAGGAGAATGGAGATGGTCTAAGGCCGTCTTCAGAGAGCTTCGCTCCTCACAGTGCTTTCCCCCATCTCCAGCTTATGACCAAAGACACCCAAGAGTCCCTGTCACAGGAGACATATGGCAACTTTGATACACAGGTGAGGGTGGGAAACCTTGATAAAGATCCAAACCCCTTTACTGGTTCTCAGGGCTGCCTAAGGTGGAGGGGCTTGTCCCTAAGTGTATAAACCACCCCCATTCATTGGGAGTTTAGGCTTTTCCTTTGGCAGGTCCCCAGGGCTCCAAAATCAACTTTCTCCTAGTCCCCTGGTCCACTAGAACTCTTATATCTCATAACTAAAACACTCAGGGTCATCCCAGGTGAACTGGGCTGCATGAAATAACCACACAGAGACAGAGAAATACCTTTTTCTTTGGGTCCTTTGACGGCTCGGCTCCTCCAACCTTAGGGGTCCACAGAAGGAGAGCAGGAGCGCGTGCTGAACCCTTTTATTGGGGAGGAGCCATTCAAATGAGGCAAGGGGTCAGGTTTCAGGGGGTTGAGTCTAGCTTTGTGATGTCTGCTGTCAGCAGGTTGACTATGACATCTAGGAAGGCCACACCCATCTCATGAGCTGTGTGGGATCATGGCAGAGCAAGGGAGAAAACCCGCCCAAACAGAGGGGCAGCGTCCGTTCAGTCCACCCTGTGTGCTCAATGCCCACAGTTCACACATGCAGCCCATGGCTGGCTGGCCACAGCTCCACATTCTCATCACTCAAGGCTAAGGGGCACTCAGTTCCTATGTGGCAGCTCCCAACACCTTGGCCCCTTCTCTCTGCCTCTACCAGTCCCAGCCTTATCCCCCTTCTCCTGGGACCCCAAGTTCTTCACCCCCAATCTTTGCTGATATCAGTCCCGCAGGTACTATTTCCTGAGTGAGGACGCCGAGGAGGGGGATGAGCTCCGGCAGCACTGTCTGGACCTGGAGCGACAGGTGGGCTGAGCTGGGGGGCCCAGGGGGCAGGGTTGCCTGTGTGGCCCCTAAGCTCCAGCTTACCCTGGCTTGCCTGCAGTTGGTGCTCCTGTCAGAGGTGAAGCAGAGCTTGGTGCAGGAGAATGCCACCCTGCGGGAGCGGGTGGGCCGGTCACAAGCCGAGGTCACTCCGGGTGTTACTGCTAAGAAGCTGCTGCTGTTGCAGTCCCAGCTGGAACAGCTGCAGGAAGAGAACTTCAGGTACAGCAGTGGGGGTCAGGGCCAGGTGGGCCCCGGAGTGGAGTACCAGGACGGCCCTCACATGCCCCTTCTCTTCCGCTGCCACCCCCAGGCTGGAGAGCAGCAGGGAGGATGAGCGCCTGCGCTGTGCAGAGCTGCAGCGGGAGGTTACTGAGCTCCAGCAGCGCAACCAGGCCCTGACCAGCCTGGCCCAAGAGGCACAGGCCCTGAAGGACGAGATGGATGAGCTGCGGTGAGTGGTGGGTCCCCAGGGCTGCTTACCACACACCTCCAGCGTTGCCACTTTTGTAACCCCCAAATGCCCACTGTACCCCCAGAAAGCACCCCAGACTCCACTCTCTCACCCTGAATTCCCCAGGCCCGCTGTCCTGAACCCCCCACCACATCGCCACGACCTCAGTGGACCTCCTGGATCCCCAGTGTCTGTTTGTCCCTCATGCTTCCCAGCTCCTATGGCATTGTCAACAAACACCCCCACAACGGGATGTTTCTAGACCCCCTCGGGCGCCCCAGGACTCTACCACTGCAGCCCTTGTTGTCCTACTGTGCTTTCCATAACCCCAAAGGGCTCTCTCTGGCACTCCTGCAATGCTGAAGTACCCTGTAGACCGCTACTGCACTCCTGAGAACCCCACAGTACTCTTGCCCCAGAGCTCCCCATGACCCCCAGGTTGTCCTTGGGGTTTCCTCATTCCCTTCTAGGTCCCTATCACTTCCTGTCACCCCACCACCCTTCTGTGCCTCCACAGGATCACCCCTGAGGATCCCCTGATTATGACCCTGGCTAATCATTACCCTGGCAGATCCCTGATACCCACTTCCATGACCCCTTCACCTGGGACCCATGTTCTGCAGGCTGGCACCCCCGCCCTGAGGGCCCCGCCTTCCTGCTGATCCCCGACTGCTCCTCTCCCTGTCTCCTCCCCACAGTCAGTCCTCGGAGCGCGCAGGGCAGCTGGAGGCCACGCTGAACAGCTGTCGGCGGCGCCTGGGTGAGCTGAGGGAGCTGCGGAGGCAGGTGCGGCAGCTGGAGGAGTGCAACGCGGGCCACGCGGAGCGCACGAGGCAGCTGGAAGAGGAGCTGCGCCGGGCTGGCTCCCTGCGCGCACAGCTCGAGGCGCAGCGGCGGCAGGTGAGAGCTGGGGGAGCTGGGCGTGCAGAGCTTGTGGACCCTCTGCGCGTCTCCAAGGCCCCCCACGCGCACAGTCTTATATGTGGACCAGATCCCCTGTCTGGGTTTATAGGCTTAAGCTCCAACCCCTCCAGGTTTTTGGCTGGGTCCCTCTGGCCCCGCCCCTTCACCCGGCATTCAGTCGCTGCCCTCCTTTCACCGCAGCAGGCAACTCTCCTTTCTGTCCAGGTGCAGGAACTTCAGAGCCAGCGGCAGGAGGAGGCCATGAAGGCTGAGAAATGGCTATTTGAGTGCCGAAACCTGGAGGAAAAGTATGAGTCGGTGACAAAGGAGAAGGAGGTGAGGCTGAGGTCCCGGGTCCAAGTTCCTCCCTGCAAATCCCCAAATAGCCCACTTTCTAGGAGATTAAGCCTGCCTCATGTGGCGTCTTGCATCCTGTCCCTGCAGCGGCTGTTGGCAGAGAGGGACTCCCTGCGGGAGGCCAACGAGGAGCTGCGCTGTGCCCAGCTGCAGCCTCGGGGTTTGACTCAAGCTGGTGAGCTGAAGACCCATGGGGTTTCTGGGGAGGGGTGTCCTGGGGTGAACTGAGCCGCCAAAGATGATCCTTGAAGCCCGCCTCGGTGGCCCACACCATTAGAGCGGCTGAGACTGGAGGATTGCAAGTTCAAAGCCAGCCTCAGCAAAAGTGGGGTGCTAAGCAACTCAGTGAGGCCCTGTCTCTAAATAAAATGCAAAATAGGGCTGGGGATGTGGCTCAGTAGTCAAATGCCCCTGAGTTCAATCCCTGGTACACCCCCCCCCCCAAAAAAAAAGATGATACTTGAAAAGAGGCCCTTAGAGCCAGGGACTGCGGGTGAACAGAGACCTGAACACTTTTCTCCCATTCTCCAGACCCCTCATTGGATCCCACCCCACTGGGCCTGGAAAACTTAGCTGCGGAGATCCTGCCTGCAGAGCTCAGGTATCCTTGGTCACTCAGAACTCTGGTTCCCATCCCTTGGGCCAGGGTTTGCCCTCAGCCCCGCCCCCTGCACTAGCCTTGGTTGCTTGGTGTGGGTTTCCAGGTCCTAGTCGGCCTCCAGATTCGGCTCTTACCTGGTCCAGGACTCTGGCCTTCTTCAAGATCTATCCTCAGCACACAAATTAGGTCCCAAACTTCTATTCCACATACAAAATCCCACATCCTAGCCTTGCTGACTTTGATCTGTGTCCCCAGGGCCCAGTCTTCATTGGATCCTCTGCTAGGTTCAGCCCCTGTGCCTTGATTGGATTAACTCTTTCACAGCAGCTCTTCCCGTTCCTGCAACCAGATCTAACCCTCTCCTGTACCCCCACCCCTGCCTGGTTCACCCTCTGGACGAGTTTACAGCTGTGCAGCACTTAGGTCTCACTTAGCGCTCTGCTCCCCCACGCTCAGTCCCCAACGCCTTGCAGGATCTTCAATGCTTTTAATTCAAGGTTCCATCCTGCTCCTGCCTCCACCCGCCAGTTCCCCTCCTGGGCTGACTCGCAGCCTGAGCAGGCCTGCGGGAAGACTGGTCCCCAACCCTGTTCACTCCTCCTGGGTCTGCAGGGAGACACTCTTGAGGCTTCAGCTGGAGAACAAGAGGCTGTGTCAGCAGGAGGCGGCCGACCGGGAGCGGCAGGAGGAGCTGCAGCGCCACCTGGAGGAGGCCAACCGCGCACGCCATGGGCTGGAGACACAGCACAGGTGAGGGCCAGGGGGAGGAGGGCCTCGCGCTCAGAGCAGGACTGAGCTCACACGGCACTGAGCGGCCCCCCACCCTGCAGGCTGAACCAGCAGCAGCTGTCGGAGCTGCGGGCCCAGGTGGAGGACCTGCAGAAGGCCCTCCAGGAGCAGGGGGGCAAGACCGAGGACGTGAGTGCCCACTTCCTCCCTGCCTGGTCCTTCCTCATGCCTCCCAGTAATCCTCCTCTCTCCTCTCTCTCTCCCCTGCTGTCCGATGCCTGGTGTAGGCTATTGTGAGTACCCCCTCCCTCAACTCGGGAAAGGGTTCACCCCTCTGGGACCTCAGGACTCACCTCTTGCTGCTTCTCTCCCCCAGCCCACCCTGCTGAAGAGAAAGCTGGAGGAACACCTGTGAGTGGTGGCTGGAAAGGCACGGGCTAAAGTTGGGGGGGTGCATGCTGCGTCAGATGGGGAGTTGCTTGTGAGGGGAGCGTTCGCTGACCAGATCCATGCGGCTCTGGTCAACTATGGTCTTATCTACCCAGCAGAGGAGCATGGACTGTTTTGGGGACATAGTGGGCAGCCGCAAAGGGGTTTTCAGCCAGGTCATGTGATAAGTGATAATTGCTTTTTTTTTTTTTTTTTTAAATAAAAGAAGCAAATTTGGTGGGGTGAGGAAATGCTTCTGGGGATTGAACTCAGGGTCTCTTGAGTGCTAATGTTCTATGGCTGAGCCATGTCCCATCCCCTAGAAAAAAGTGTGGGTTCCCCCCCTTTTTTTGTTTTTTAAATTTTTTATTTTTTTAGTTGTTGATGCGCCTTTGTTTTACTCATTTATATGTGGTGCTGAGAATCGAATCAAGTGCCTCACACATTCGAGGCAAGCCCTCTGCCACTGAGCCACGACCCCAGCCCTTTTCCCCCAATTAAAAAAAATTAGTTTATTGCATCACCCTGTTGGGAAGAATCATATTAGAAGGACAGCAAATTAGCAGCAGCCCAGAAACAAGTGTTTCTTGTAGTCCATAATCTCTGTGCCCCCACCCACCCGCTGGCACAGAATCTCTTTTAGAAAGGTCCCTGGCTGCTGGCTGAAAAATGGAACTGAAGGGTTGAGACAAGAAGAGGTTGGAAAAGGATGATGGTGGCCAGAGCAGCTTGGGGACTGTAGGATGAGGAGAGGTGGACAGAGAGGCCACCACTAAGGATGTGGAGGGTCACAGCCCTGATGGCTGAGGAGATGGAGGGGCCAGGGCTTGCAGTTCCCATACGTGGTGGGGAGCAGGCAGGGAGGTCTTAGCAGCCTGTCCCTTTGGCTGATGAGAAGAGCCGCCGGCACAGGCACAGCTCACAGCTGGAGCGCTTGCCTGGCGTGTGTGAGGCGCTGGGTTCGAGCCTCAGCACACATATAAGTTAATAAATAAATGGAGGTATTGTGTCCATGTACAGCTGCAGTAATAAGAAAGGAAAAGCAGGTAACTCAGAGGTGAGCCCCGTCCCTCCCTCCCTCCCTCCCTCCCGCAGGCAGAAGCTGCGCGAGGCGGATCTGGAGCTGCAGCGGAAGAGAGAGTACCTCGAGGAGCTGGAGACACCCACCGACAACAGCAGTAAGGGGGCTCCGCCGCGGGGCCGGGGGCGCCTGGAGCCCAGCATGGAGCTGAGTGGCTGCCTGTCCTCCCAGCAGCCCGTCGCATTGAAGAGCTGCAGGACAGCCTGCAGAAGAAGGACGCGGACTTGCGGGCCATGGAGGAGCGGTACCGCCGCTACGTGGACAAGGCCCGCACGGTGAGGTCGCCAGGAGCCCCTCCGTCCTCAGGCCTGGCCTCCCATTGCCTGTGCCTCCTACAGACTCACCCTCTGTCAGCCCTCCGGGTCTTTGCCCGGCCTTCTGCCCTGGTCATAGCCCACCATGTCACAGCATGCTTTCCCGCTGCTGCGGGCTGTCACATTTAATGTACCCCAATGTGGCAGAGGAGCCTGTGAAGCCAAGGTCACCTGACTGATTCCCCCAACTTCTAGGTCATACAGACCCTGGAACCCAAGCAGCGGCCACCTGGGGAAGGAACCCCAGAACTCCACACCCTGAGGACACAGCTCCGGGAGCGGGATGTCCGCATCCGGCACCTGGAGGTTGGTGTCCTTGTCCCTTGGTGCAGCCCCTGGCACACCCAGACCCCTAACTCTTGCCTCCTTGCAGATGGATTTCGAGAAGAATCGAAGTCAGCGGGAACAGGAAGAGAAGCTGCTCATCAGCGCCTGGTATAACATGGTGAGTGTACCGACTCCGCGGCTAGAGAACTGGGGGCCCCTTGGAGTTTACCTGAGCCCAGCTCGCCACCCCTCCTTCCTCTAGGGCATGGCCTTGCAGCAGCGAGCTGGGGAGGAGCGGGCGCCTGCCCATGCCCAGTCATTCCTGGCACAGCAGCGGCTGGCCACCAATGGTCGCCGTGGACCCCTGGGACGCCTGGCATCTCTGAACCTGCGCCCTACTGACAAGCACTGACAGACCTCAGCACCCACCCACCCACCTGCCTGCCTGGGGCTTCGCCCACCGTGGATGCCTCCAGCTCACCTGGCACCAGGCAGCAGGCCTCAGCCAGCTGCTTAGGAGCCTCAGGGCCATGACCACTGCCCTTTGCTCCCCAGATTGGGGGAGGGCGAGGTCAGGTGGCAGGTACAGGCCTGTTCTTTTCATCAATGTGATTCTTAGCCTTGATTCTCTCTCTGGAGTTAATATGCTGCCTGAGGAGAGCCTGATTTTATAGAAGAAGAAGAATAAACACATTAAATCTGCTGTGGCTGGCCTCTGGGCATCATTGCAAGGGACAGAAGGTTGGCCAGTGACTCAGAACCATTGTGGGTTTTTTTTCTTTTTTTCTGTACTGGGGATGGAACCCAGGGCCTTGTACATGCTAGGTAAGCGCTCTTCCACTGAGCTACATCCCCAGACTTTTTGTGTGTGTGTGTGTGTGTGTGTGTGTTTGGTTCTGGGAATTTAACCCAATGACACTTTGCCACTGAGCTACATCTCTAGTCCTTTTTATTTTTTCAGGCAGGGTCTTGCTGATTTGCTGAGGGTGTCGCTAAATTGGTGAGGCCGGCCTCAAATTTCCTGCCTCAAACTCTGGAGTCGCTGGGATTACAGGCATGGACTATGGTGCCTGGCCATACTCAGGCCTTTTTTTTTTTTTTTCCTTTTTAAATATTTATTTTTTAGTTGCAGTTGGACATAATACTTTTATTTCACTTATTTATCTTTATGTGGAGCTGAGGCTCGAACCTAGGGTCTCGCATGTGCGAGGCGAGCACTCTACTGCTGAGCCACAGCCCCAGCCCCCACACTCAGGCCTTTTAGTTTTTCATTTTGAGATGAATTCTAAGTTGCCCAGGCTGGTGTCACATTTGCCATCTTCCTACCTCAGTCTGCCAATTGGTAGGATCACAGTCTTGCACTTACTGAAGTGAGAATGACCAATCAGTGAGAACTACGTGGGTGTCTGTGTGTGTGTGGATTTTGAAGAAGCTTCAGACAAAAATACCTGCTCTCAGCAGCGCACACCTGTAATCCCAGCTGCTCGTGAGGCTAAGGCAGGAGGATTGTGAGTTCAAAGCCAGCCTCAACACTTAAGAAGGCTCTAAGCAACTCAGTGAGACCCCGTCTCTAAATAAAATACAAAATAGGACTGGGGATGTGGCTCAGTGGTCAGGTGCCCTTGAGTTCAATCCCCGGTAACCACCCCCCCCCCAAAAAAAAAAAAAGTCCACTCTCATTGGATGGAACGTTCCCAGTGAAGGGAGATAGATAACAAGCAGGTAAGATCAAAGTTGGATGTAAGAAGAGCTACACAGAACCAGGCACAGTGGCAGACACCTGTAGTCCCAGCTATTTTGGAGGCTATGGCAGGAATATCACAAATTAGAAGCCTGCCTGGGCAATTTAGCAAGTCCTGACTAAAATAAAAAAATAAAAAGGGTTGGGGCCGGGCACAGTGGTGCACACTGGTAATCCCAGCCACCCTAGGGGTTGAGGCAGGAAGATCACAAGTTCAAAGCCAGACTCAAAAATTTAGTGAGGCCCTAAGCAAAGCGGACAAGAATGACAGGAGTGTGAGAAATGGACTTGGGAGATAGTACCACCAAAAAACAACAAAAAAGACATGCTAAGATTGAACCCTGGGGTGCTCTACCAATGAGACACATCCCCAGTCCTCTTTATATGTATATATATAAATTTTTTAAGTTTTTTTTTTTTTAAATTCTTGAGACAGGGTCTCACTAAATTGCTGAGGGCCTTGCTAAGTTGCTGACGCTGGCTTCCTGAGTCAATGGGATGACAGGTGTGCACCATCACGCCCAGCTGAGATGGCAATTTTGAATAAGAGGGTAGGATCAGAGGCCTCTCTAAGGAAGTAAGGTAATTGAAGTAGAAACCCGAGGGGGAGGGGTCATGTCGGTATCTGGGGGAGATTCATCCAGGCAGAGAGACGGAAACGTCTGTCCAAAGGTCTTGAGTTGAACCCTTGCTTAGGCTGGAGGGACAGTGAGGAGGCTGGTGTGGCTGGAATGGAAGGATTGAGCAGGAAGATGGGAATGGATGAGGGAAGGGAGAGTGCTTGGGGCCTGCGGGCTCCAGGGGATCCATCAGCTCTTGTTCCTAGTGAGCTGGGAGCCATGGAGGTTTCTAAGCACAGGAAGGATGTGGCCCTTTGGCGGCTCTTGTGGGAGAAACAAACCGGGAAGGCAGGTCTAGAGTCGCAAAACCAGGCCAGAGGTCGCTAATCCAGGTGAGTATGTGGATGACCCTGGGACTCTGGCCAGGATGGGGACCCTGGGGGAGTGAGAAATGATTGGCTTCTGGACATAGTAAAGGTACAGTTGATGAAGTTTGCTGCTGGGTTGATGTAGATAGAGGCAAATGAGAGAACAGAGGGTCCTGAATGACTTTAGGTTTTGGCCTTATCACTTGGAAAGACAGAGTTGACACACACAAACAAGGTGGGACAGGTTGGGGAGCTTTGGATCATGTTACCTTCAAAGCGTGAGATCTTCACATGCAAAAGTCAAGGATGCAGCTGGTTCTCTGAGTCTAAAGTCAGGGATATGATCCTGGCTAGACTTCTAAATTCAGGAGGGACTGGCAAATGATATAAGTGAAAAACAGGAACCAAGTGCAGTTGTGTACACCTGTGCTTCCAGGATTGTGAGTTCAATGCCAGTCTCAGCAACTTGGGCCCTAAACTCTTTTTTAAAAAGAGTTGGGATATCTCAGTGGTGAAGCACCCCTGAAGTACTGCAAAAAGCAAACAACCTGGAAGAATGCTCAAACCTTAGTGTAATGTCTAGTAAGAGAAGTCACATGAACAGTTTGAGTACAAAAAAAAAAAAAAAAAAAAAAAAAACCCATAGTTTATTAAGCACCTACTATGCCCCAAATGCTTTAAAAGCATCATTTCATTTTCAGGACAACTCCATGAAGTAGGCACTCACAGCTTCATGGAAAGGAAAGAGCATAGGCAGGACACTGATGGAGGCCACTGGGGCAGTAGGGTTGGGAAGTAGAGCTGGGGTGGGGAGCATTTCTGTTCAAAAGCTGGGAAAATCCCTGGCCACTAGCACAGTGCCAGACCCCCATGTGGAGCACCTGGCCACCTAGTGAAAAGTGGGCTGGCCTACTTTCTATAGGCCCCCAGGCTTATGCAGCCCTGGACTGCTGCTTCATGCTTGTTCCCTGTCATTAGGGGTCCTAGCCCCGGGGTCTCAGGCCAGATTCTCTTCCTCTTCACCGATAGGGCTGGGCAGCCAGGGCGGGGCCGGTCCCCGGGGTCCAGGGATGGGCACGGTGGTGAAAGGCTCTGCAGCAGGTCCAGGAATGGGGGCAAGTGTCTCAGGACACACGGGGGGCTCGGGCTCTGGTTCCCGCAAGCCGGGGTCGAGCAGCGGGTCCCCGCAGCTGCACTCCGTGGCTGAGCCATCGGGGACGCCGGTGCATGCACAGCTGGAGGCTTCTGACACGCAGCTGTTCTTGCGGCGCAGCAGGGACAGGCGCCGGCCCAGCAAGCCTCCTCCGGCGCCCGCCAGACGCTGCAGGAAGTCTCCCTGGGCCTCCCCCAGCGGGCCGTCCGCGCCGTCCAGCCTCTGGAACTGCATGTCCTCCTTGGCCAACCTGCGGACGGGACAGTGGGTGGGCGCTGCAGCCTCGCCCCTCCATTTCTTCCTTTTTTCCCCGTGCTGGGATAGAATCCAGGGTCTCCCGCAGGCTAGGCGAGATCCTCAGCCCTCACCCTCTATCTGATTGGTGAGTGAGATAGAGACCCAAGGAATTCCCTGGCTCCACCCACTCCTTTGTGTCACTTATCCTCAAAGACTTTCAGCCCCTTACTCCAGAGCCTGGCCTGATCCTCTGGCTCTGCTCACAGATATCAAAGCCTCATCCATGGCGCTGTCCTATCTTGGGTACCACCTCTGGTACAGACCTCAGCCCTGAGATCCGCCCCAATCAGTGGCGCAGTCCTAGACCTTGACCCCTCCCCATCCCCAACTCAACCTCTGTCCTCATTACAGTTGATCTTAGCTCCACATTTCCAGACTTCAGTCCTTGGCCCTGTCCTTGGCCCCTATAGACCCTTCAATCATCCACAGAGCCATAAGCTCCACCCAGTGTCCCCCCAGTGGTCTTGTCCCTAATGGTCCAGTCCACCCAGTCCAGTCCTGGCTCACGTGATGTCAAAGGTGGAGCCCTGGAAGGAGGGCTGCTGCAGCAGGAAGGCTGTGGCCGCCGTGTAGGGGGCGCGAGCCTCTGTGGCGTCCCAGTACAGGTCCTTCTCCAGCACAGCCAGGTCATCATACATTTCATCTACAGCCAGCATTGATACCTGAGGGTGCAGATACAGAGGTCGGGGTGGGGTGGAGCCCTCAGGACCAGCGGGACCATGGTGAGCAGAGAACCAGGGGTGGTCAGGGAGACGCCCCAGCAAGTCTTGGTGGGGAAGGGGCCAGGGCCAGGGCGGCTGGGAGGGCTGGTTGTGGATGATGGCCCTGTGGAGCCTCACCTGGAAGTTGCGGTCAATCAGAAAGTTGGTCTCAAAGTCATCGTCATCTTCTCCAAAGGGGTTAATGAGCTGCTCTGCTACCTGAGTGGGGAGGAAGGAGGTAGGTGGAACCTTGAGGACCTTGTCCCCACCTTCAGGCCAGCACCAGGGCCCCACTCACCTTGAGCCAGCCCACATAGAAGAAGAACTGCAGTAAGGTGAAGATGGGAAAGCACAAGTCCAGGCTGTGGTCTTTGTAGCCCTGCACAGGGTCCAGGAACTGGCGGCCAATGAGGCAAGCCAGGAAGTAGCTGTAGACTGCAATGGTCACCACCTGTGGGTGCGTGGGCGGGGGGAATGCCCCAGGTCAGTGTTTCCCCCATCTCAGGGGGTTATTGAGAGACCAGGCTAAACTGGTCATGATGGTGCAACTCCAGAGATAGGGAGAAGGATGGAAAGTTGGAGGCCAGCTACAGCAGCTTAGCAAGGCCCTAAGGAAGTTAGTGAGACCCTGTCTCAAAATAAAAAAATTAGGTTGGGTGCGGCGGCGCAAGCCTGTAATTCCATCAGCTTCGGAGCCTGAGACAGGAGTATCAACAAGTTCAAAGGCAGCCTCAGCAAAAGTGAGGTGCTAAGCAACTCAGTGAGATCCCGTCTCTAAATAAAATACAAAATAGGGCTGGGGATGTGGCTCAGTGGTTGAGTGCCCCTGAGTTCAATCCCTGATACTCCCCCTCCCCCCGAAAAAAATAAAAAGAGCTGGAGG